CAGCTCCGTGTGTCACCCCATTCCCTCCATAGGGGCCCAGCCCCGCCTGTCACCCCGTCCCCTCCGCAGGGTCCCAGCCCCATGTGTCACCCTCTGTGCGAGCAGAGCCGGTGTCCCAGCGGGTCACCCCTCTCCTGGGCAGGTGCTGCGGGGACAATGGCAGTGACAGAGAGCTGGCTGGGGGCTGCCACCGCCCTCCCCCCCCCCCTCCTCCCCGCATAACAGCTCCTGCTTCCCCACCCGCGCCCAAAATCTACCCCTGACCACGAGCCGTCCCCTCAGTGTGGGCTGTCTGTCGCAGGGTGGTGCGTGGCGGCGGCACAGATCCCGGGCCTGCGGGAAACAAGCCTCCCTGCGGGGGGATCGTCCTTTCCAGGGGAGGAACACGTCGAATAACTTGGAGGTCAGAGACCTGGTAGCCAGAGGTAGGGATTTTAATTATGAGTATTGATTTTTTTTTTTTATTTCTTGAATTATAAATAATTTATTGTGATTATAATGGGTATTGGGCGAGTGGGGGAGGTGAAGACTGGCTTTGCACCAATGTGCAATTAAAAAATCACCTGTATAGATCCTATCAGAAAAAGATATACGAAATAGTGAAAAACTACAGAAGAGGGGCATGAACATGCCTGGGTAGAGCCAGATAATCCTACTTCAGTTTACCAGGGAGGGTTTAAAAAATAAGGAACAGAGACAAGCTTGCAGCAATCAGGACTGAAATAAAATAAGAGCTTGCACTAACCCTTTTTAGCAAAGAGACGAAGTGAACGTGTGATGTGTCTCTGCGATATACCTCACGCGATGGGAGAGAGATCGAAAGCTGACACCGCTGAGCTGGCTGCGGCAACCTCGAAAGTCTGGAGGTAGCTTTAATGCAGAATGATGAAATCTCGTCAAGTTACACGCCAAAGATGGCTGCTGTTTTGAGGCGAGAGCCCCAGCAGCAGGCTCTATGCATTTAACACAGACTGCTGCTTTTGTTGCTAGGCTACAAGCGGGACGTACATTTATAAGCAAAAAAAAAAAGTATCTTGTAGGGTTACCGTGATTTGCCTTCTCCAGCGTTCAATTTGGTTTTCTGACTGCAGTAGGAAAAATCATAGTGCAGACAAAGATTTTTTTCCTTGTGATTTGAATAGGTATTTAGGAAGGAGCTGCTTTGGGGAAGGAAAACTTGGCAAGTAGCTTTGTTAACATTTGGTGTAAGTACATTGCATCATACTTCTCCCAGTCATCAGCCGTGCTGCTTCTTTCAAACTGGTAGCAAACGTAGTGCAAATAGAGGAATACCATTGCTTGATGACTCCGGTAAGTCTGATATGTGCTCTTTTGCCATCACACAAAAATGCTTTCTTCCCCTAAAAATCTATTCGTGCTTCCCATTTGAGTTAGTTATACTGCCATGATTGACATCCCTGGAGAACACATTGTGTTCTTTTCTTCGCCAGAGCGATCAAAATATGGGTAGTAGGTGGTTTGCCTTTCAGCTGTTGCTTTGCCAAGTTTTGTGCTGTAGTTTTAAACTAGAACAGGTCACCTTTTATTGGTAGTTCATTTCCTGTCTTTTCTCCTAAACCAACATAGCAGCTGTTGTGGTGGGCATTGCTCGTGGAAAAGAAAAAACTGAGTTTGTTCAGGCAAAGGAGCCCCAAAAAGGGCCAATGTGTTATTTGAGGACTAAAGAGGCCTAACAGGATCCCTGAGTATTTCTCTATCAAAGCATGGGAAATGCTTCAAAAGAACTCAGCTCCGCAAAAACAAACAGGCGGCCATGGGTGCTTTGGTTTATAAACGTGTCAGAGGAAGAAGAGAAGCTGTTCTTCTCCCCGTTTTATAGCAGCAGGTACTTTTCTCTACCTCAAGATTTTCCAGCCTACATCTCTCGTTTCCCATAACAGGGCATTGACAGCTGGACATCAGGCTGTTAGGGGAGCGGTTTGAAGAATGGAGATCTAGGGGCCTAAGTGTGTCAAATCTTTTTTTCTCTCTCCCAGTGAATTTGCACATGAAACGTTTTCAGCAGCACCTGGCTGTTACTTTTGAACTATTCCTATTCTTTAGGATTCTGGTAAGAAAGAGGTTCTGCTGTTACCTTCTATTTTTACTGGGTTTTCAGGGAAAAGCCTCACTCTCATTTTTCAAAAAAAGAACTCTTAGTTGCTTCTAGGAGATTTTGTGAATCATGATCTGACCTGAGCGCCTTTACATCACCTGAAGTTAGGGGTCTAAGTCCTGGTAAAGGACACGGTATAAGTTACACCTTTCAGCATTTGTGTTGGCTAGGTTACTCACTTGCCCTCCTGTATGTAGGCCGGTTTGAATTCTCTTTTAAGCTAGAGTACCCCGTGTGTCCCATGCTTTGTAACAAAGGGTTGCAGGTTGCAGTTTGGGAGTTGGGCACCAAGAAGTGAGATATCGCGATGTTTGTTACCACAATTATGTCTCCACTGCTTTTGGACATAGACTTCTCTTTAGACTTCTCCCTCCCCCAGCTCAATTTTTGCTGACTTTCTGAAATTGCATGCAAGAGAGGTGAAAGGCCGCTCTCATTAATAGAGTCCACTTCTGTAGGGGAAGGTGCAGGAGGCTATAATCTGAACTCCAGCCCCCATAAAAGCAAAAAGCAACAGAAAGTTCTGTATAGAGAGTGAAGCAGTACCCTATCTGGTACCCAATCTAAGGATGTTTGCTGAAGGATCCTCACTCAAGAGAATTCAGGCATTTGTATCTGTTGAGGAAAGCCTGCTGCTGGGGTATTTTTCAGGCAAGTTTCTCTCACAAATACTCTCTCTGACAATATTGCGCGCCTGGCAATCTAAGCTGTCTGCATCTCTTGAGGAATGGACATTTTGCCATTAGGGATGCTTCTTGACTCAGAACAGTGACTGTAGCTTTAAAAATGTGTATTTAGATCAGACATGGAGAACTGGGTTCACAGTTATACCATCAAGAAATTTCTTTTTCTGTCGTTCTATTCCCAATTTTAGCTTAGATACTGGAAAAATTAATGACATACCTGATGAAGTTTCTTAATTGTGGAGTGGATTTTTTCAAGACTTGGGTTAAAATGCAAGGTATCAGTAACATAAGAAAATATAAATGGTTCCAAGGAAGGTAGCAAAGCTGCTTTTCATCGTTCGTGCACTGCTGCATGAGTTTAAGTTGCTCAGAATTTCCCAGATCGTGTGCCCATCCGGATTATTCAGTCATGCAACAGGGTTTAAAATAAATGATCAAATGTCTGGGTTGTTCAAAACTGAGTGGTATGTTACTGTCTGAAATAAATTAAAGTCATTGCTATTCTTTTGGCTATTGCTTTGGCTTGAAAAGTGGTTATATGACCTTCAATGTGATGTTTAAAACGTGAACTTTGAAAAGGAACAGCAGAGAGTCGAACTCCTGGCAACTCCTGAATCTGCATTTTGTAGGATTGCTGCAACTGCTGTTGTTAACCTTTAAACAAGGTTTAAAGTCTTCTACTATTGCTGGTTCTGTGGCAAGTCTAAACGTAGCCTTTGTACTAAAACTGTTGATCAGACTTTTTGCTGGGTTTTATGTAATTATTTTTTAAGAGAGGCCACTCTCACTTATTCTTAAGCCCTTTTTTCCCCTCCAGTTAATGTTAGTATTAAACATTAGACCTTGAACTGGCAGACGATTCCATCTGATCAAAGAGGGCAAGAAATTTGGGTGTGCTTGGTACTGGGGCTTCCGGCTCAGTTCAAGGTTGCTTTCTGATTGAAAGTACAAGATGAAAAAGACAGTCAAAGAATTATTGATTTAAAATAGATTTTTGTAGAAGGTTATTAAAAATATGGAGTTGAGAGTTTCCCTTCAGATAAACAAAGATAGTTGTTGTCAGTGAGTTCTACCATGCTTTTTAGTTTGTTTTTATTTTCTGATTACTAGGGCTGGGAGAGTGTTGGGGAGAGAGATGAGGAAGCAGCAGCAGGGAGATTTGGATGGAGAGTGGTAGAGGAGAAGCTGGCAGTGTGATTTGCTTTAAAGCACTAGGGAAGCGCAGTTTCACACAGCGGTGTCCTCTCTGTGATCTGCCATCTGTATCACCACATCTAATTGCCTCCGGTCTACAGAACCACATCTGCTCAACTTTTGGTGCCAAGTACATGGCAAGGCGTGGCCATTTCTTTAGCTTGACAGTCATATGTTTATGAAAAACTTTATGAACACACAATCACAGTTATGATTCTGAAAATATGCCTTGGTGCATAGGAAGAGCCGCAGCATGAAACACATGGATAATCAAACCTCTGTGTCAGTGTTGGGGAGCTAAACAGTGCCAAAAAATGTTCCTGGTCACGGGAACACGGTCCCCCGTATTTTAACTTGCTGGAGCGCAGCGTGGAGCAGTTTTGCCCAGGACAGCTGATGCTCACCCAGACAATCCGGCAGCACAAGGGAGGATTTAGCTGCCGTTCTCCATGGGCAGTTTGGATACAGCCACCCTAGTTTGCAAACTGAAAAGGTTTAATAATACAAAAGTGCCAAAGAGCATAGTCCATTCTTTATTACTAGTTTAATCTACTAGTGTGGACTATTACCAGCTTAGGGTTTGCAGGTACAAGTGGTTCTATTAAATACCTTTCTAATTGATCTGTTGTTTGAAACACCAAAAATATGTATTATTTCATTCCTTATTGCTTATTTTCCATGATAGATGTTAACTGTTTGACTGCGTTATGATGTTGTCTTTTATCCTTTCCAGTACTGCTGATCCTCCTGTGTGAACATGACCTCAAAGTCACATTTCAGTATGGATTATTACAGTAACTTATGTGTTTGTAAAATTAATGTTGTTTCCCAAATCCTCTGTTAATGGAGTTGTTTGAGGAAGAGAGTTGTTTCAAGATCAGATTGGGTAATTTTGCTGCTTACCTTTCCACCTTAAAATTTAAGGTGCTGTTGATTCAAAGTTTTGTCCTATTTCACAGATGGTCTCCCCTCTGTTGGTACTTACTGAATAGCAACAGGTGTGGGAACAATAAATTCAGATAGGCAGTTAAGTGTTAGGTAGTTGTTGAAGTTTGCCTTCATTAGTAGACTGTAACAAAGCAAACATTTTTATCTTTGTTCTGGAGGATTTGTGCGTTTACTTTCCAGTCCCTTTACAAACTTTCTAGTTATCTCGGTTCGGATGGATTTATTTTCATTTGATTTAACCCAAATGTCCTTTATTTTTTCTTTACACAATTCTATTATGGATATATGGATAATGAGAACTTAAATCTTGGGCACACTTAATGTATATGGAGAATTATATCACTGAAGGTAGTGGAGTTACACCCTTGACAAAGCATTGTAGTTAAAATAATAATTAAATCTCAAATAGTTTTATTACAGTGCTTTTGTTATTGAGTATTTGAATGGATTATGCAAACA